AAAATCCTTGTTTCGTTTTAACAATTACCAGGGCTATTCAACCGAGTTTACTCAGGAACCAAAATGTTGAAAATGAGGATCATCACGGGCCACAGTTCCTGGCTTCAGCATAGAAAGATCACAAATACAATAGAAATCGCAATGAATGCTGTATGAAGAATCAACATCACAGCACTCAGGACACTCCCATAAGTGCTCAGTCCCCATCTTTAGCAGCAAGCAAAGAGTTCCAATTCCGATGGTACCAGTAACCACCTGATTGTATATCTTTCTCATCCTTCCCCTGAGTCTTCAGCGTCAGCAAGATTCCCTGGTAACTCCTCGCAGCGCCTTTCTCCTTAGACTGTACTGATCTATCTGCGCCTCCGCACTGTTCACTTGCTCCCAAAGGGCCCTCACAATATCTTACTTGTCATACATCAATTACCACCAAGTTGTGCAGAGCCAGCCAGTCTATCTGCCTGCTAATTTCCCAACACACCGGCATGACCTGGAGAAAATATACAAAGGATGCTAACTACCCGGGACCTCTGAAGTGATGCTTGCCCCTCTGCATGAAGCATGCCTGTTATCACCTTTCCCAACATGCTCTGTGAGTCTGTTACAATCACAATGATCTGCAGGCTACTTGCTAGGATAGAATATAAAAATGGCATACACTGTTGGCACTGTCGTCATTTGGAAGTGACGGGTTCAATTCCTGGCATGGTAACTCTAGCTTTCAATTTTTTATTCTGTTTGTGTTTGTTATATTGTGAAGCTTGCTGATATACTTTTCGTTCGGTTTTATATCTTTCCATAATATATTTATTCTGTCTAGTGCATTCTTTGGTCTTTCTGTGAGTGCCCATCAACACATCTCTATTTTTTTATTTTTATATACATATATATTCACAAACATACACAATCACCCATCTGCAACAGATTTTTCTGTCATTCAAAACATAATATAAAAATGAAATATATCTCTGGCACTACTACGCCAAAGTGATCACAATACTAAAATCCTTGTTTGGTTTTAACATTTACACCAGGGCTATTCAACTAGTTTACCCAGGAACCAAAATATTGAAAATGAGGATCGTCATGGGCCCCACACAGTCCCTAGCTCTAGCATAGAAAGATCACAAATAAAATAAAAATCGCAATGATCTGTTGGCTACTTGCTAGGCTAGAAAATAAAAATTAGGTTAGTTTGACGTTGTTCTCCCTATTTACACACTCTTAAAACACTAGCTCACTTCTGATTTGTCAACCTTCAGCCTAGCTCACTTCTGATTGGTCAACCTTGAGGCATGCAGCCTTAGCATAAGGTTACGGGGGTGTTCTGCAATGCCGTTGGTATTGCATGTTGTATATTTCAGCACGCCAGTGCTTTTAACACTCCAAAAATATCGACAAACTGGGCCTAACACAAAACCCCCTAGAGAGTGATGAAACCTATGTCACAGGCATGCTCTTTCTGGGAAAAAAACGTAAATGCAAGACAATCCAGACAGCAAACAACAGAGCGGCACACCCATAACCTGCAGGAAAGTAGGCCAGCCCAACAAATTTGTCAATGGAACGTGACCTACTTTGTTTGGGGAGACTAATGTCGAACTAAATAAAAATTAAATACATTGTTGGCATTACGCCAAAGTAATCACAGAGCCAAATCCTGGCTTCGAGAAGTTAATGTCCGATCACACAGGCCTCTCTAAACACTGTGTAGTTGTGTGAAAAGTAATACAGTAAAACTCTGATTAACCTTCACTTGTTTAACCGCCACTATCTGGTGCCCACCATATTAAAATAAAAAATAAGAAAGCATAAGTAACAAACAAACAAACAGACATCTTTAAAATTCTTCTTCAGTATTCCGAGCACTTGAGATTCATTGCTGCAGATATCACCCGCCTCCATTCATCTCTCTGGTTGGCCTTCTCTTTCCAGTTGGTGACACCAAATGTTTGCAGGTCTGTCCGGACATTATCTCTCCATGGTCTTTTTGGTCTGCCACTTGGTATCTTTCAATTTGCCCACACGTTAATTTTACACTCTACTGAATTGAGCTAGAAATGATGATGAAGGATCAGTTCATAACCAGAAACTACAGCTAGCCACTCAGAAGCAGAAACAATGTTATCAAAGTCGGTGACTGGTTTGAAATGCAAGAGAAGGGATATGCAAAACAGATCCTACTTCTGGGTAAGACATCGAACATCGCCACACAGAAAGCTAGAGCCTCAAGAACACAAGAAGATGACAGATTATTTAAAAGTAACGCAGGTTTATCGAAATACATTTCTGTATATTTAAGAGAAAAAAATTAGTTACGTATCCTTTACAGGACGTTGCAGAACCAACCCCAGAACTATCAGGCCGTTGTGGTTTTTCTAGGCAAATTTACGTCCGGTAGTTTGCCACTGCTTGCTGGATGGTCGGCTCTCAGTACCACGGCGGAAAACATCACAAGACAAACCGCCCGCAGCAGGGATCGAGCCCGGCACCCCGACATTATGAAGCACGTTCGCAACGCCTAAGCCACAGACGCCCACTTTTGTATATTACTACTCTTATTTTGAAGTTTATATTGAATGTTTCGTAAAATTAAATATAATATGTATTACGATTCACTTTTCATAGATTTTATTTTCATTTCTGTCGCAAGCATGCAGTGAAATCACATAACAGCCCTGGTCCAGACAGCGACAGTTAATCAAAGTTTTACTGTACTTCATTTTTAGCTATGCCTCTGGCATACTGTAAAGTGATAAAAAACAACCCTGAAATTGCATAAAGCGAAAATCGCCAAAACTGCAACTGACATTACTTTGGCGTTGTGTCGACAATATCCTTATGTGTCAATTTTGTGTACAGCCTTGCACACCACAAATATCTTACAAACACTATCTACTTCTTCACAGAAAATTAAGGTATGCAAAAAAAAAAAAAGCCAATTACTGCATTTATTATACCACTTTTGCGGTGTAGGCTTGAGGATTTACTGCCGTATGGCTAGTGCTGTCGCAATGACTGTGCAGGTGAGGATTTTATTTTGCCCTTGACAGGAATATCCCAAGCCTTACTGAGGATTCGAACCGGGGTCTCCCACTTGAGCCAGCTGCTAAATTAAGGTATTCATGATTAAAAGCTATTACACTTTCAGTTTTTCAGTTTACAATAATTTAAATATTATAAAAAAAAAACAAGCAATTTTAAGACCATTTACATTTCAGAAAATATACAAAACCTGCATTACAAACGGCGAGTCAGAAATACCGCTACATGTGTAACTTTTTACCCCAGGATCAAGCAAAGTTGTTTTTAAGTTTTTCTAACCTGAACATTTTGTTACTTTAAGTAATAAATCATACCTGAGTTTGAAAAGGCTCCAATCATAAACACTATAGGATTATTTACTATGCCGATAAGTATGGTGGTCACAGTTTGCCATTTCCCATGGTTGAGTTGATTAAAAAACCGACATCACAGCACTCGGGGGCATTCCGATAAGCACTCCATTCCCACCTTCAGCAGCCACCACAGTGTTCCAATACCAAAGGTACCAGCAGCATTATATGCGCATCTTGCTTTTTCCCTGAGCGTCAGGATCAGCCAGATCCCCCCACCGTTCTTGCCCTGTCCGTGGCGTACGGTCACTGTATTTCCAAGTTTATGGGGAAAAATTTAGCTGCACATCGTTTACAATAATGTTGCGCACCAACCCTGCTACATTTTGGCTGTTTGCGGCGGCTTCTTCTTATTTTCCTGCATTAACTGGCTGTAAACTCTGGCGGAAAGTTCTGTTTATTCATCTTCTTCTGGACTTCAGACTTTCTCCAGAACTTGAGTGCTGCATGTGCATCAATTTTACAGAACTGGCTTATTTTTTTGCAAACTCTTGGTTCCTTGCCACTCAGCCAAATTAGTCAACTTTTAAGGGATTAAATTAGTCAACTTTTACGGGTTGGGGTCAGTGAGCCTATTTTTGTTTTCCTCCATAATGGGACCCCAGAACCCACATGGGGAAGTTTGTGGTTTGCTAGGCAGTTTAATGTTCAAATGATGACAACAGGGCTGACTAAAGTCAAGCTAACACCAACAAATTAATCCGCTGAACTGTGACTGTAGGGGGCGCAAGTGGCACACGATTAGTTTAGCTGCTTTGAGCCCAGCTTGTTTCAATGTTCAGCGTACCTTCAAGTAAATAATAATATTATTTTTTACTTTATTTTTATTTCATTTTATTCTAATTTCATTTTATATTAACTTGAATTTTATTTTTATTCAATTTTATTCTTTCTGTTATTGTTTCTATTTATGGATCATTAGTATTTTTATTCCTATTATTATTACTATTGTCACCACTGATGTTATTGTAACCATTATTACTATTATTACTTCTGTCTTATTAGTACCATTTTTGCTCCTTTATTTTTTTAAATTTTTTTATTCCACCTTTTCCACTTCCTATTTTTTTAAAATTGTTATTCACATGACCACCTACTCAGAGAGTGGTGGTATACTCTGACCTTTGTTGCGGCTGTTGTGGTTGGTGGCAAGTTGGGCTCTGGCAGTTGGTCTATTGTTCTTGCGTGTTTACGTTGTTCCCCTTTCCCCTTCATTAAGTTTCTTAGTCACTGTTCAATGAATTCCTTTAACATTCAGTAGTTTGCCACTGCTTTTCTAGCGGTTGGCTTTCTACACCATTATCAAAAATCACACAGAGAGGTCTGCTGCCACAACACCCACAGCTGAACTGAACAGGGTATTAAAAAAAAAATTTCAAACTGCATTTGTAACCACCAAACCAGTCTGAAAGCAGTTTAGTATTTTGATAAAATGTTTTCCCAAAGCAATGTCAGCCACACCTTAAAATAATATGCCATGACAGTGACAAACATCATCACAGGATATCCAGGACACCTAAGCCCCGCCCACATTTTCAAAACAATATCCAGACAAAAGTACTAATCACTTTTATACATGTCAATCATCCAAATGGACCAATAATATTACAAGAGAGGCTGCTGGGAGGGATGTGCTTGATACAATGTCATGCTAGGGACACTGCCTTGACTGTAGCCGATTCCTGGGCCTCCAAATGGCTGCTGCACTGGTAGGGCAGGAGGATGGCTTCCATTCATCCTTGACGGAGCTGATCCGGCTGATGGCAAAGAGTAATTCTGCATCTGAGGTGGAGTTGTGTGACTGAGGAACAGACAGAATTAACACTGTAATATCAGAAATGGAAAGGGTACAGCAAAATAACTTGTATACTGTTTTATATGCTGGCGTCTGTGACTCGGGCACCACAAACAAGTTTCATAATTCAAAAGTACTTGGTTTGATTCCAGCTGCAGGTGATTTGACAGCAGACCAATGGAGCATAGGCTCTCAACCAACTCAGGCCAAGTCGTTCTATCCTTTGCTTTCACATGCAGCTCTCCCCTTCTTTTTAACTTCATTCTCTAGCTCCCAACTCCATGTGGTTTTTGGTCTTCCTTTATTCCTATGCCCCTATGGGTTCCAGTGCAAAGATATTCTAGTTATTTTGTTCTCAGGGTATCTTAAAGTGTGTCCTATCCAACGCCAGCATCTTTTCTCCACCTCTTGGTTCACTGGAACTAAGTTCTCTCCCAAAGCTCTACTTATAGAAAATCCCTCGGCAGTTGGAAATAATTAAATAGAGTAGCCTAACAGCTCTGCCTGGGGAAAATTTGGAGTTAAAAATCTACCCACTGCGCTGAAATTCTTCGGACTCAGGCTCAAGATAGAAGTAGAACGGAGCACTTATAATTTACTACCCTTGTGCCATGATGTTGATCCGTTGTTTACAGCTAAACCTAAGCACTCACAGCCCATCTACAATGCCCACTCACAGCCCATCTATAATGCCCACTCACAGCCCATCTACAATGCCCACTCACAGCCCATCTACAATGCCCACTCACAGCCCATCTACAATGCCCACTCACAGCCCATCTACAATGCCCACTCACAGCCCATCTACAATGCCCACTCACAGCCCATCTACAATGCCCACTCACAGCCCATCTACAATGCCCACTCACAGCCCATCTACAATGCCCACTCACAGCCCATCTACAATGCCCACTATTTTAATACAAAAGAAAGCCAATCAACAGTAATGAGAGCGACATTCTGCTAAGGATTTGCATGATGATGATGATGACATCAGCAGATGAAGAAGCAACATTCTTACCCATGGAAGGACTGCTGACTAGATGGTGCCATCTGGGTCTGCGTGTAAGTGAGTGAGGGCTGTGGCCCGACCATGCTGGCAGTCAAGGCTAGGTTTGGTTGATTCTGTGCTGCAGCAGCACCCAATCCTCCAGGAACAATGTAAGGATGCTGGCTGCCATATAGCTATATCAAACGATATTTGGCAAATTTATATTTAAACACTTAGAGAAATATGCAGATGCTAGCTGTGATATTGGAACACCATATCTATAATGGAATAGTGACATAACACCATTTTTATAATGGAATATTGTCATAACACCATATCTATAATGGAATATTGACATAACACCATATCTATAATGGAATAGTGACATAATGCCATATTTATAATGGAATATTGTCATAACACCATATTTATAATGGAATATTGACATAACACCATATCTATAATGGAATATTGTCACAACACCATATTTATAATCTAATATTGGTGTAACTGGGTAGGAAGGCCAAACAATTTCTTGAGGCCTCAGAGATGTGGTTTTACAGAAGAATGCTTAGAATACCTTGGACAACCAAAAAGAGCAACCAAGAGGTTTTGAAAGAGGCGGGAGCCCGAAGACAACTTATCACAGACATCAGAAGGAGACAGTCATCATTTTTCGTACATGTTATGAGAAGAGGGAAAATAGAACATGTTGTGACCACTGGAAAGATCTGTGGAAGGAGGGATAGAGGAAGACAATGAGAGAAGATTCTTGAAAGTCTTGTTGCATGGCATGGAGGTGTGTTGGCACACGAACTGATACATGCTGCAGGAGATAGTGGATTATGGAGAGGCATGATCGCCCATGCCAGTCGGCAAGGCACCTGATAATGATGATGATTGGTGTAACAACATATCTATAATGGAATATTGGCATAAAATCGTAAATATAATAGAATACTGTCATAACACCATATTCATAATGGAATATTGGCATAACACCATATTCATAATGGAATATTGCATAACACCATATTCATAATGGAATATTGGCATAACACCATACCTATGTGACTTGAAAGATATCAACATTGGCACAGACATTTGGGACAGATCAGATCAACTGCAGACTGACTACTCTGGAGGCAGACAATGAAAGACGGACTGTCACATTTTGAAAGAGGCCAAACGCAGCAAGCTAAAGACAGGAGACGTCAGAGAAAACCAGACAAAGAATGATAGAGAGGAGACGTATGAGAGAAAACCAGACTAAGAATGATAGAGAGGAGACATCTGAGAGAAAACCAGACTAGGAATGATAGAGATGAGACATCTGAGAGAAAACCAGACTAAGAATGATAGAGAGGAGACATCTGAGAGAAAACCAGACTAAGAATGATAGAGATGAGACATCTGAGAGAAAACCAGACTAAGAATGATAGAGAGGAGACATCTGAGAGAAAACCAGACTAAGAATCATAGAGAGGAGACATCTGAGAGAAAACCAGACTAGGAATGATAGAGAGGAGACGTATGAGAGAAAACCAGACTAGGAATGATAGAGAGAAGACGTATGAGAGAAAACCAGACTAGGAATGATAGAGAGGAGACGTATGAGAGAAAACCAGACTAGGAATGATAGAGAGGAGACATCTGAGAGAAAACCAGACTAAGAATGATAGAGAAGGAGACGTATGAGAGAAAACCAGACTAAGAATGATAGAGAGAAGACATCTGAGAGAAAACCAGACTAGGAATGATAGAGAGGAGACATCTGAGAGAAAACCAGACTAGGAATGATAGAGAGAAGACATCTGATAGAAAACCAGACTAAGAATGATAGAGAGGAGACATCTGATAGAAAACCAGACTAAGAATGATAGAGAGGAGACATCTGAGAGAAAACCAGACTAGGAATGATAGAGAGGAGACATCTGAGAGAAAACTAGACTAGGAATGATAGAGAGGAGACATCCGAGAGAAAACTAGACTAGGAATGATAAAGAGGAGACATCCGAGAGAAAACCATCTTTATATAGTAGTAGAGGTCGGCCTCTTATACCCATCTTGTAAAACATTATGGCCTTAAAAGCAGGGCTGACATCTTGTTTGTGTTTGGCTTTCAGTTAGGCTGTGATATCCGCACCCTTCGGGCCAAAACATCCAATTTAAAGAAAATCCTAATTAGACGTTTTTTACGACATGCTCATTAGGGGCCAGTCGGTCTATTCTCCCACCTACCCTCCCACAGGGTGAAAACTGTACCTGTGAATGAGGGCTCATGTTGCTGGCGATGCCTACACTCTGAGGTCGGGGACTGTACATCCCTGCTGGAGCTCCTTGTGCTGTTTTGAGGCTGGCATAGCCATAAGCAGGTGTTTCCTTCATCAAGTTGTGATACATCTGCAGGGCATCCATTACTTTCTTGTTGAGTTCTACTAAAGTGGCGTGTTTTCTAAAGAAAAAGAAAAGCACAACATACCATGTATTTTGTTTTAAAGTTTCCTAAACAATGCAGCTTAATTATCAAACCGTCTTTATCCCAGCGTGGGTTCTGGAGTTTTAGTAGGGGGGGGGGGGGGGGGGGGGGGGGGGGGGGGGAGAAGGGGGGGAAGAAGAAGATTGAATAATGGCCCACAGCTCCTTAACCAGCAGGCCGTACAAGGAAAAGGTCACTACTAAGAAGTTTGCTGAAATTAGACAATCAGATGAGTCAGGCCTGAAGAGAGAGAGAGAGATATCAAAATCCTAGCTGTAAACCATGAAACAATGTGCCAACTGCCTTCTAAGGTCAAACAGAAGAAGAAGAAAACATCATTACAACATTTTTATTTCATAAAGAATGTATGTATGAAGTAGATGTTCATGATTACAAGACTGTTAACTCTTTGAGTACCAAGGGGTTCAGCATCAGAGGCCCACTGGGTAGCAAGGCAATTTTTTTATTTTACAAGTGTAGCAACTGCCCCTCCAACCAGTATGTGATACAAGGCAACCTGTCAGAGGTTTTCTGAAACTGGATGTGCTGGGCCGAAAGGAGCAGATATCACAGCCTAGCTATAAATCATAAGACAACGTGCTTACTGCTATTTAAAAGAGAACGACAAAGAAAAATATATCCCCAGTGTCTTCAGAACCTCAGCATTTGATTGGTTTTGTTTTCTGTCAAAGTATACCTAACCACAGCCCTTTCTCGGCTGAGAAGTATCTTCTTCTTTACCTCCTCTTTTACCGTTTCGGGTGTCAAGGGAGATATAAGGTTCTGCTTCTTGCTCTTCTTGCCACTTCGACCACAGACATCTTGCTATTGTAGAGTTTCTCAGATGTTATCTTTCCATCTTGTTTTTGGTATACCTCATACTCTACGTCCTTCTCTTTCAGTGTAGGCTTTATGAGGTATGGTGTCCCAAGGCATTCTAAATGAGCAAACCATTTGATTTGCTGTCTCCGCATGTTATTCAGAAGGGGTTCTGTGCTGACTTTCTCTTATGACATTCCTGATTTTATTTTTTCTGGTCACTAAGGCAGAATTTCTCAGACATTCATTTCCATGGTTATTAGTTTTTTTTTTTTTTTGGGCTGTTGTGAGTAAACAATATATACAAGCTCAATTAAAACAACATGCATTGAACTAACCTGTCTATTTTTTCCAGTTCAGCATCAATTAAGGGTCCCATTGCTTTACACTGTTCTGAAAATTAAAAACACATGCATACATTTCATTATCAAGGCAATGCAGATAAAGACTATGAACTAATTTGTTAATTTTCTGCCTTTTTCCTTAAGAGAGCGGTTGGTATGTTGTGTTTTGCAGCTAGGCTGCTATATCTGTGTCTTTTGGTTTAAAATATCCGATTTTAGCGAACTTCTAATTAATCACCTTTTATGAAATAGGGCAGAAGTTCTATTCTCTGCACACCCGCTCCCCCAAATGAGGATCTGGAACTCAGAAAATCCTGGGAGGCCTTGGGAAAATCAGACTAATTCTTCTTCTTCCTCGAGTTTACCGGCTGTAAATTCTTGTTGTTGTCCATTTTTGGACTCTATTCCTAGTCCAGAAACTGTGTTGCATTGCAGTTTCACAGGTCTGACTCATTTGCAGGCAGACTGTTGGTTTCTTGCCTCTCAGGCAGATGTACTCCGACATCAAAGGAAGCTCCAAATTAGTCGACTCTTATGACATGCTTTTGGGCAGGCACTGGGTCCATTCTTGTTTTCACCACACGGGAATTAGACTAATTAGTTGTAATGTCCATTGAGAGAGGTTGCGACTAAATGATTACTGAATTTTAAGTGTCTAATGAATGAGAATCCTACTAGACAACCATAATGGCAACAAGAAGAAGGCTTCACTGAACAATAATTCTACTAGATGAACATTTTTGGTTCAAATGTGCACTGACCATGATTCCTTCCAACAAGTTCAATTTCAATTACATCAGAAACATTTGATGTCCGAGAAAAATCTATATGAAGCTGGACTACCCTTGAATTGAAAGTGTCAAGGACTAATTCTGCCTAGCTACTGATGATAACCAAACCCAAGGAAAATATATCTGTAGACGGCTCTTTTTCCGTTAACTCTACCATGACTATATTTTAAAAAATAAAAACATGAAATGTCAACAAAACAGACAGCAGAAAGAATAAAAAAAATACATTTCACGTCAATTATTAAAGTAAATAATAATTTTCAAAATGCAATGTATAAGAGTGGAAATAGAGAAATAAATTACTGCCTGTAGTTGCCACTTTTTAAGAGGTGTGTAGAACAAGGGGTCTTGAGCCTGACTTGGAGCTGCATGAATAGTGCTGTCCCCAGGAACTGTGCAAGTTAGGACTTTTGCTTCCATAAGGAAAAATTTCTATTACCTTACCGAGGATTCAAACCCTGGTCTCCTGCATGTGTGTGAGCCTAGCCATCTTCTCAAGGAAACGGAAGCAAACATATATTACTCACCTTCCAACATAAGCATATGGTCAGAGTCTGGCTGAGTTTCTCCTGTTGGGTCTGCATTCTGTATGAGGTTGAGGACTTCATCTATTTTTGCCTGGCACAAATTGAAAGTGGAAAAGGGTTAGGCAGGTAACAAGAATGGACATGATACACACACTGACATTATCACACCATCAGTTAGTAAGTTGGGTTATCATTACTGCACTCCAGACATGCCCACAGGTGCTCAAATCCTTCCCTCAGTAAGAACCCCCACGTCCGAGCTATAAGTACCAGTTCTATGTTGACTAACAAGTTCTCTGATGTGCCTGGTGTGCGTCTCATTTTTTGCTATGCCAGTCTTAGCGCTCAAGTCTATCATTCTGGTGAGTGATGTGGATTAATTGCCCCCAAAGTCCCCATACATCACATATATACCAAGGAGAATTGTAATAGCTCAGAACAGGGCTATTCAACTGGAGGCCCACAGGATACATCTGGCCTGTGCAGGCCTAGCAATTGGCATGTGGAACTTTACCAACTGTGCTCTATTAATGATCTTTCAATGCTGGGGCTCGGGCTTCTCGTTCAAGACTATCCCCATTTTCAAAATGCTGACCCCTGAATAAACTTAGATAAACAGCCATGGCTTAGACAGTCTGCTCACATCTGATGGATGAGCCCAGCAGACAAGAAGCCAGGAGTCATGGGTTTGTTTGATGGTAATGCTGATCAGTGTCACTTGGTCCAGACAAGTATTCTTCTGCCTTAGGTTCACCAGCTTTCAACTCCTGTGGAAAGTTTTGGCTGTTTGTCCACTTCTGGACTTTGGTCTTGTTCTAGAGCCTAAGTTTTGTGTGCACGACTATTTTATAGATCCGGTTTATTTTTATGCAGATTGCTGGTCCCTCACCTTTCAGGCACATGCACTCCGACTTCGTAGAAAACACCCCAATTAGTTGGCTTCTTTGACATGCTTGGTAGAGGGGCAGCGGGTCTATTCCCCCCCCCCCCCAACAAAGAGGTCCCATAATGAGGAAAACCAGAATAGACCCACTGCCTCCCCAACAAGCATGTTGTAAGAATCGACTAACTGGGGGCTTCCTTCAAAGTCAGAGTGCATGTGACAGAGAGGCAAGGAACCAACAGTTTGCATAAAAAAAAAAGCAAAATCTGTAAAACAAATGCACATGCAAAACTCAAGTCCTGGAACAAAGCCAAAGTCCAGAAATGGACGAACAACAAGGTCTTTCCCCTGGGGTTTACTGCCAGTGAATGCAAAGAAACAACAAACATTTCAATCATGGTGAAAATTACTATCAGAAATTCAGCCTCTTACCTCATCAATCACTTCCTCCCCAGAAGGCAGATTCAGTGTTTTTACCTGGACCTCCTCACTGAAGTGTACAGATTTTTGCTCTTTTACTGCAAAAGAAAACAACTGAAATGAGATTCTTGCAAAAGTCTATTAATGTAACATAAAGAGATAAGATTAGAAATGATTGAAATCCTAAGAAAAATGGGAAAAAAGGGGGGGGGGGGGGGTAACATTAGCTCTGGATTTTGTTAGAAAACAACAAGTGAAATAGTTTTCTCATATAATATTGATGCCAACAAACAGTATACCACAGGAAGCAATGATGAATACACCAGGCGATAAGAGAAGGGGACAACCATGCAAACAATGGACAGAGGGAATAACAGAGTCTGTGGGAATCTCTATTTACGAAGCGCACAAATGAGCACTTTCCCATAAATCAAACTGTATGTTACTGCAAGGTACCATGGAATCAAGATATATATATATATATATATATATATATATATATATATATATATATATATATATATATATATATATATATATATATATATATATATATATATATATATATGAGAGAGAGAGACAGAGAGAGAGAGAGAGACAGACAGACAGACAGAGAGAGACAGAGAGAGACAGAAAGACAGAGAGAGAGAGACAGACAGAGCGAGAGACAGAGAGAGAGCGAGAGAGCGAGAGACAGAGAGAGAGAGAGAGAGAGCGAGAGACAGAGAAAGAGGATATTACATACCTGGGCATGAGTTTGACTAAAATGAGCACTTATGGACATGTCTGGATGCAAACTGGCCTCAACTGAAGAGGAATGGACCACAAGGGAGACCAAACAGACAGTGCGGAGATAATATAGGCATAACTAAACACACTGGGAGTCACCAAAGGGAACAGAAGACCAAATACAGAACTGTATGAAGGCAAGTTATATCTGCAGCAATGAACCTCAAGGCCTCAGACGTTTCAAGAAGAGGAAAAAGAAGAAGAAGAAGAGGAAAAAGAAGAAGAAGAAAAGTTTTAAAAATGACATTCATGTTTCCATTTTTATTTTATCAGTAGGAAATCAATTCAAAAATATTATGAGGTCAATAACAGTCATTTAGGACATAAAAAAAAATACAGGCCTTACAAGAAAAAAATAAACGTCTGCATTACAGGGAACAGTTTTTAAAAACAGTTTCAAATCGTGTATCTATCACAATTATCCCTACATTTGTTCGCTGTTTGTGGCTTTATTATTAAAACTTGCTGTCTCCGCGGGGGAAGTGGTCAGGCTGTTTGCCTTGCGCTCTGGGGGTTGTGGGTCAGTTTCACGATGGCAGCACTCAGTTTACGAATGCAATTTCTACGGGAGATCCCTGGGGATCGTCACAGGAGCTACGGAGGTCATGCTCTCTGTGACGCTCTCGACAGTCAGCTAGCTGTTCTGCAGGGAGAAACTGAGCCATATGGGATAATACCCAGTGCAATGTAGCTGATCCTCTCACCTTTGACTATTCAAATGTAACCTCGGTATTGTGCCACTAAATTCTGAACGCTCAAAGCTTTACTGATGTTGAAATGAAAACAGTGTAGGGGAATTCTAAAATTACATTCACACCCCCTACGTTACAGGTGCAGACATTAGTATGTCAGCATTAAACCAGGTAGAGGAGGACACACATGACATACCTACTGGTTCTGGCTCAACCACAACCGTTAGATCTGCTGTCACAAAATTGGCGGGAAACAAACCTTCCCCTCTATGGTTAGCACCTTTCCACCAATTAGGGTCTCTGAAAGAACAAAAATGGTTTCATATAGAAGTTTTTTTTCTCCCCACATATTTACACATAGCAGACAGTAATGCATTATGTTTCACACATTTACACATAGCAGACAGTAATGCATTATGTTTCACACATTTACACATAGCAGACAGTAATGCTTTATGTTGTTTAGTGTCTGCTTCTATCTTTTTACTTCTTTCTATGAGTGCCGATCAATATGTTGTCTGTTTGATTATTATGTATATGTGTGTATTTATAGATATATAGCTTCTACGGCCTATGTTTATTTATGCGCATTACGTATAACATATGGCATCTACCAATTATATCTCCTTCTGAAATGTTTGTTGTGTTCTAGACAAAGCATCAAAGTATGCTATGTGTAACTTGTTACTGTGTTTTTTGTTTAACTAATGTTTGGTTAATATAAATTTCCAGAACCTATGGTGCCATTTAAATGGTTTGAGATGAGTTCTTTCCATATTCCATAGTTGTGGATTTCAAGCAAAGTGTGCACACCATCTGGAAATAACAGGTTCGATTTCCGGCATGCTAACTATAGCATTCGATTTCTGTGTTGTTTAGTGTGTCTGTCTATAACTTGAATAGTCACCTTTCTTCATCTGCATTCATCCTTAGAAGGGCAACTGGAACATTGTGCTGTGGCTTATAGTTAGGCTGTATTATCTGTGTCTTTCGGCCCAAAACATCAGACTTCAGCAAACATTTTTGGCTTAGGTATCACAAACATGCATCATAAATAATAAGGGTTTTGATCCCAAATGCAGGTGATTTGGCAGCAGACCGCCTTGTGCTGGTTTCGACAGTCAACCATTCACTAAGCAATGTCAAACTACTGAACATAAATGTGCCTAGAAAAACCACAACAGCCCAAAAAAATATACTGCGGTTGGTTCTCCAAAGTCCTATAAAGGATATGCAACTAACTTTCTTTTTATCAGGTGGGGGGGGGGGGGGGGGGGGGGTGTATGTCTTTTCTTCTTCACCTGAAAATAGAGCACCGGAACTCACACAGGGTAAATAGTTGCCTTTTACAGAATGCTTGTTTTATTAAGCAGCAGTGAAATTTTTTTGTTCTCAAAAAAAAAAAAAAAATCCATATGGGATTCTGGTAATGAAAGACTTAAAAAACATATCTGTAAAAAGTTATTTTTTCTGCGTTTTCTTTTATGTGGAGGCGGAGAGCTTGAATACAACATTTGAACCTTATCACGAACAACCATTCTGTGAGCATGTGATGAAGTGATTTAAAGGATCTGTTTGGTAATTCACATCATGTTATAGCATGGTGGTTTAACTGGGTTAAACATCTGAAATGTTTGTTAAAGTTACTTCAAACAGAGTTGTTACTGAAGGCTGCCATATCATATATAAGTTCTTGACCTTACATATAGTGACCTGGATTTCACGTATGTAATCTGATAAGGTATTTAAAAGTGCTTCTGTCTGTCTGAAGTGGTGTTTAATAAAAAAAAAAAAAAAAAAAAATTATCTGTCGGTATCTGTGGCTTCAACGTAGTGAACATGCTCATTGGTGCGGGTTCAATCCCAGCTATGAATGATCTTGCATTGGTTTCGGCAGTGGTTTCGAGAGCAGACCGTCCAGACAACAATGGCAAACTATTGAACACAAAATAGCCTAGTCAAATAAGAACAGCCAACAAATGCTGGGGTTGGTTCAGCAACCTCATGTAAAGCACCACAACCCCCCCCCCCCCCCCCCCCCTCCAACATACAAGCCACAAATTCAGTCATGACACAATCTGGGATGGTAGGCTACACCAGTGTATCCCAAACTGTTCTTAGTTGCGGGGCCTTTTTTCAATTAAAAAATTTCATATGACGCTCTAACCTAAGTAAAAGTATGACTATTCGTATGTAGGAGATTTAAAAAAAAATTTAACTTGTGTATTTTTTAATATTTTGCAGCGCCCCTGTGAAGAGGTTGCGGCTCCCCGGGGCGCTGCGGTGCACAGATTAGGAATCACTGGACTACACAACTATTGGGTTCTAATCCACAAAATTTTTTTTTATTATAATTGACTTTGACTCCCAGGTCAACCCAGCATAAATGGGTAGCAGGTAATGGCCTGGGTTTGAAGGGCACATGGGGTGACACTGACCACGTCAACTAAAAGGGCCAAGTGTTTTATTTAAATCTGAGTTGGGCAATATATGCCATTGACGGTCCCAAGTCCCAGTGAGAAAGGAGGAGGGTTAGGTGTGGGGCCACCTATCCCACCCTGTAAAATGTTATGGGCTACAGAAACCTGCAGAAAAGTATGTCATTCTGGTAACAAAGGAGTCAAGTGATATGTGGTGCACAGAGTGGATGTAACGGTTGCGGAATGTCTGTGCAACCACTAGTAAAAACAATAATAAGACAAAGAAAATGGTACTATATTGGAAACACCCTGAGAAGCAAAGAGCGGACAATCACCAAATAACAAACAAGTAGAAAAATGAGAAATAAAAGGACTGGTGAAGCAAGGACATCCAAAAGAAACCCTAAAACGAATGTTGATGAAAGAGGCTAAAGGTGTTGGACTGGATTCCCTCCATGGTATTGAACAGACTGCCCAGTATAGAAGTCAATAGACTGTGAGCACCATGTGACACATAATGACACAACAAGACAATGCTTTGAATTATTCAATTGTATCGGAGGGCTAAGATGCCATAGCGGTATTGTAAGAGAGTACAAATGTATTGTAAGAGAGTACAAATATCAGAGGTCACCTACCCATCATCCAGCACACATATAATTTCCCCTGCTTTGAAAGTCAATTCATTATCCTCCACTGCCTCAAAATCATACAATGCCCGAACCTGTAAACAAGGAAACAAGGTAAGTACACAGTAAACACTACTTTCTAAGCCATGACATTTGCAGTTAAAGATTCCTGGTTCCCAAGTCAATGCTTTTCTTCCGAGACAATTCTTAAATCGTCTTTTTCTTAGCTTTCACTGTAAACTCCAGCAGAAAGTTCTGGTTGTTCATCCACTTCTGGACTTAAGTTTTGTTCCACAACTTGAGTTTTGTATGTAAGTTTATTTTACAGATCTAGCTTATTTATATGCAGGCTGTTGGTCATATTTTTACAGCAGCTGAACGCTAATAATAATAATATTAAGAAGAAGAAAATTAAGATCTCATATGTATTAATTCACCTACCTTTCTAATTTCCTTTTGAGCAGGTTTAGAGTATGCCTGAGCTGACTGTGTATAAGCTGGGTACAAACTGACACTTCCTCCAGCTCCCTCACTGACTGCACTTCCCCTGCCGGCCAATTTGGCTTGATCCTCTTGCAAAGACAGTGCAATGGCTGCGGAGTAAACAGAAGCAAACACTTCATACGCAGCAGGTGCTGTTCCAAAATGAACAGTGGCAAGAGTACACCCACTGATGTCTTTAGGAATATTAAGTGGCGATGACGCAATCTCTTCCATGGTGCGAGGAATTGAATCTGTCAACCCTAAGTAAGGAATTCACCACTCTGCAGTAGCATGTACGCTCATAATACGCACAACCACTCATTTCTGGTAAAAAAAAAGGTGTTATGGTGAGCTAGGTATATCATACACAGTGGGTCTAATCCCCCCCCCCCCACCCCATAAGTGTCAAAGAACCCGCACAGGGTATTTGGAGAAGTATGTGATGCACGTGGCAGCCAATGAACTTCTGATGAGTTGTTTGGCACAATCAGGAAGTAACAGTTATATAGTCAGTTACTTAGTTAATCAACAGATTATTCTCACTGCATGTTGGTGGACAAGTCCATAAGCGCTCGGATCCCATCTTCAGTACATCACTCAGCATGTGGCAACTGATAACACCAGTTTTCTGTTGGTTTACTATTCTTCTTTGGCTACCTGTATGCTGTCCATGTTTGGCGGCACATCTTTTGACCTGAAGTTCTTCGAATGTCAATCCTTAGCAAGCCAATCCGCTCGTTCATTCCCTCTTACCCCAGGATAAAAGCCATATATGCCATTCAAAACAAGAGCAGCAAACAGCACTATTGACTCACCCTTAGCTAAATCATCTTCTTCTTTTCTCACTGTTGATGGGTCTACCGTGGTTTTCTTCTGTAAATGTAACAAAATATATCTGTCAGACACCTCATAGTACAACTCTTTAATCCTCTTCAAATGTAACACAATATACTGTTACCTTTAGGTGCCAGATACATCATAGTACAATTCTTTAATCCTCTTCAAATGTAACAAAATATACTGTTACCTTAACCCTCTTAGCACGGACGGGCCGATTATCGGCCGGCGGATGTCTTGCCAAAAACACGGAACGGCCGATGATCGGCCCGATCGTGTTTCGCCTCGAACCGCTAAGAAATCTCCTACTTTGAAACACTGAAAGTGATTCATTTATATTAACTGCGGTATCAGCTTTACACATGGCGACTTTCGAGTGTTTGGTATCGAAGTGAAAATTGTTGTTGAATTTTTTAGATAGTGACCTGAACCGCTAAAAGTATGTCTGACTCGTATGTTTCGGCCCCTAAACTTGATGTTGATAAAACATTTGAATCAAGTGTTGACACTAATTCTGTTGATACTGATGCAGGATTTAGTGTTAGTAGTTATAGTGGGAATCAGATGGGGACGCTGTTGTGTTCAGACCACAGCCCAACCATGGCTCAGGGTATATCCACCCGAAGGCATTGACACTCCGGCACATCCATTTCTAGTGCTGACTGATGGTGAAAAACACATGTCACCTAAAGATATTATTGCTGTTTCACATATATATACCTGTTTTTGACTATTGAATTGCTTACAACATTTGTAAAATGGCCAAAGATCAATAAAAAGATTTCAAATAAAAAAAATTTTTGTTTTTAGTTTTATGTTTCAAGCATTGAAGTTGAAAATTCAAATTCAAATTTTCTATTTTTAGATATGCAAATGAGATAATTTGCATATACATCAATTAATTTTAACGATATTGTGAAAATCACGAACTTCAATCTATATCCTTCAAATAGATATATTATTTCATAGGGGTCAGAATAACAGAAATCTGTCAAAAAAATTAAATAAAGTAATAACCAAATTCACTGAAAAAATGCTCCGTGTTTTTGGCTAGACCTCTGAAAAACTTCCCGTGCTAAAAGGGTTAAGGTGCCAGACACATCATTCTATAACTCTTTATTCCTTCTCAAATGTAACAAAATATACTGTTACTTTAAGTGCCAGACAGTTGAAGAACATTGCTCTAGACCAGTGGTTGGCAAATCGTGGCTCTCTAGCGAACTAAGTGTGGCTCGGCCAGTCAGCCATGAATTGGTTTTGACTCTGAAAAACATAGTTCTTGGCAGGTTCTTGAAAAGAAATTTGGCTCTCAAAAATAAAATATTAATCGTCCTGCTGCTAATTTTTGGCTCTTTCGACTAAAGAGTTTGCCGACCACTGCTCTAGGCTATCTGCCCTAGTTCAAAAGAAAATTCTCTGTAAAAAAAAAAAAAAATTAGCAATAATTTACTTTGTCAAGGCACAGCAAGCTGGCATTTTGTTGCTGAAAAAAGCACCGGACTGTGAAGACGTCAATGTAGAGGACATCACAATGGATGGCAAACTACAAACTGGATGAAATATCTGACACTGATATTGTGGAGATGGTGAAACAGGGCGAAGGGATAGAAGAAGAGCAAGAGGCATCCTCAGAGGAAAATATCTCATCCCACATTCGGAAGGGTTCAAGACGACTGAGGTAACGCTGCAATATATTAGTGAGCACGAGGAAGCCATTCCAGCTGATAAAATTGCTTGCATTAGTAGAGAGACATTGCATTGCTGAAGAGGGCTAAAAGGGTGAGGAGTCAACTATCAAGGACTTTTGGTGAAAACTAAAAATTTCAGATTTTTTATTTTTCTAACATAGGCCTGCCTTTTCCCCATTTGTTTAATCATTTATCAGTGAATAAGTTTAAAAATAATGTCTGCTAGAACTGAGAATAAGTTTTATTCTTTTAAATATGTGTGTGTATGTGTGTGTTCATACTGTGTGGTGTATATGATGTATGTTTAATGCAGTTAAGCTAGACAATATACAATTTATCTTAAAATATACCTAAAGATGTGTATATTTATATTTTCAGACGTCCTTTTTCTGTAACAAGTTTTTAAAACAAACAGAATAAACACTTATAAAGTACTTGTTTGTTGTGAGTGGTCAGAAAATATGAAAAAGAGCTGCTTTTGGTATAAAACACTGTTTAGAATGGTATGGGTGGGGCAGAAAGTGAGTATTTACAGAACTCTGCCTATCTGGCTATTTGTTGTTGTTGTTATCCGGCCTGCCCTTCCGCCAAATGAGCAAGGACAATCGAGAGTCCACTGTGTTTAACCCCACCAGACCTGAGGCCCTGAACCTAACTGCTCCCTATACCTGAGCTCCTGGGCATTAACACGAAAAACCAACATGACATACAAAAATATTAGTTACATGCAAACAGGTGGTTAGAATAAAATGAAACTTGGAAACCTTGTAAAAAATAGGTTTACCTTTTATCTAGCGCCTATATTCCACCTTTGTGTGCCAATCCACCCAGCAGGATCAGCCTTGTTTTGCAAAGTGAGCACCAGATGTTGCTGTTTGAGGGACACACCCCCCTTTTTTTTACTATCAATCTAGTTTTAAATCTATAATTTTCAAGATTCTCATCACTTCAGCTCTCACTGACTGTGTCACTTCAACTGTGAATGTATTCTTCATGAAATTCTGACTTCTCAGAGTCTGAATCAACCAAAGTATTGATCACCTGTTGGACTGTGAAAAACCTAGACCTACTTCACTTTCCTGTAGAAGTGCTTGGTTCATCAGCCGCTTGTTTCATTGTGAATTTTCAATTTTTTTTTTCCGCATTAAACCCCACAAAATAAATCCAAACACATGTGGCCAGTCATTCACAATGACTAACCACTGGGTTTTATCACGACTGGTTGGTTATTTTTTAGTTTGAGGCACTTTTTATCACGTATTATGCTAAGTACGGAAAATTAGGTGCAGCGGTTTAGCGGCAGATTACAAAATTACCGGAAAAGCAGTACAGTGGTCTGGTAGAGTTAATATAAATACAGCTCTAGAAAAATATTTCTACCCCACTGAGACATACTAGAACTCCCATGCTTTAGCAGACTTTGCCGTTAGTAAACAAAAACAAAACATGAGCAGATTAGCAGGATGCCTTCAATAAGCATATGGCTTAAAGCTGCCACACAGCTAACTAGAAAGTATAATGTAAACATAAATGATTTACAAACCGTTTCTGAATCAATGCTAAAGTCAACACCCTCCTTCTTCAAACTGTCATAGAATGATGGTATCAGACTGAAAAGAAAATGTAACACATTTAAATATCCGATGAACAAAGCCAAATTTAATAAAAGCATATAAAAAGAAATACATCTTCGCTACTGCCAGTCCCAAGCCTGGATGAGAAAGGAGGAGGACTGAGCATGGGGCCAGTTTCCCACCCTGTAAAAAAAAAAAAATGCACATATCTGCTACGGAAGCCAGTTCAGTCAAGTGGTGTGTGGTCAACGTAAAACATGTATGATGTCTGCCGGCAAAAGCCATTTTGCTGAGGTAAATGGCCAGAATGCAATGACTTAGCTAAAAAATCTATATAAAGAAATGGGGGGAGGGAGGCAATTAAACAACCATGGCGAAAAAAACAAGATTAACCCAGGTAGCAAGTGGAAATAAAGAGATACCAGACAGATATATTAGGATTAGGCGAACATTGGCCAGCAGCAGAAAGAAGAATGGTTACTGGGTTCATCCTTGTATACTCAGAAACAGAAGAAGAAAAACATGAAAGAAGTAGGCACTAGGATGACACGCAGCTAAAAATGCTTGCTACAATGGGATCCTATTTCAAGTCAAATGACTAGAGCTCAGTTTAGTACAAGAAATGTCAAAATGGTCATCCTTCAATGTTATGCATGAGCCAACAAAGCTGAGTATGAGAATAAGGCTCTTTTCTAAGACCAACGGAACATGAAATAAGTAGAAGTGAGAAATGTCAAGCTGAACTTGCAAGCAATCACCTATGACCTTGGTATACATGCAGAATGATTAGTCGTGGGTAAGTAACTTGATGTGTATGACACAGCTGAGCTGAGTGCTCACCAGTCACAGCTGTAGACAACCGATTAGTAACAGAGGACAGACTACACAGCTTGAAACATAATGAATTAAACATACTGTTATGTCTAGCTTTGTGTTACATGGGATTTATTGCCCATTTCAGTATGCAATCTGTCACTGTTGGGGTATACTGGGACAACCATAGTCCCAGCCATCTGCAATGTTATCTAGCCATTCTTGAGAAGTACACAGCACTGACATGTGACAATTTTGCAAATGGAAAAGTTTGGGGAAGAGCTCCAGCTCAAATTAAAAATAAAAAGTGAGGAGGAGGAAGATTACAGCATTAAGAATATGTAGCTGAACTAGACACACTTAGCACTAAGTGAAACAAGGCAGTTTCTATTTCAGACTTATTAGTTAAAACAATAACAAATATAAATGGTCTGAATGGTCATTGTCATGATAATAAATGAGAAACTCCCATGCTGTCATTGGGAAACCCCCCATTCGGCCAGGTTAGAAACTAGGGACCAAGTTTAGAGTGAGTAAAGGTTGACAGATAAACATGGGATTGTGCGTGTAATCAGTTTTTTTGTGTGAACAGATGAACTGAGTTAGGTAAACTTAGTGGAGAGAAGCGAGATAGTTGATACAGTAAGAAAGCTAGGATTCAGTGTTAGATAAGGGAATGAGGAGGATGTTCGTGTGGCAAAGCAACTGAATGAATACTTGTGAAGTAATGAATTTCATGCTGATGAATACAAGGGCAGCAGAACTGATATTCTATTATTTTTGCAAGCACGAAGTAGGAGAAGAAATGTTGAATACGTCTGGTAATGTGTACATAAGTAATTTCTTTGGACTTGTAAGCAGCAAGAAGATTGCTGAGGAGTGAGATGTAAATATTACAAATGATTTGACAATACTCAATGACTAGACAACAAAACTGCAGATAGAGTGCGTAAATGTTCTGAACTACTCAATAAACATGTGTATATAAATCATGGACATGGTGTGTGTGTGTGTGCAGTTCTCTGTGTGTAGGACACAGTGATCTCTCAAGTTCTTGGGAAATGCAATAGTGCTAGGCCACCCAGAAGTATCACAGCAGTCACTTTGATGAAAAAAAAAAAAAAAAAAAAAAGAAAGATTAAACAAATAACCACAGAATGTAAGAAAATAGAGGATGTTGACTCACTTTAGGGCTGGGTCATCTCTGAACTCTGCTTGTTCAGCCCATGTTTTTATCATCAGCTTCAGTTTCTGCGCCACTTTTGGATGTGCCTGTTAGATTTCACAGAGATTTAAAAATATACAACTTCAATTTCTTTGTTTATGCACACAATTGTTTTTCTTCAAATGATAAAAATTATTTTAATCAAAGCATTGTCGAGAGTACATTCCAAGCATATTTATATACTATATTTGAGCCCGGTTTGCTAGCTCAGTTAGTTAAACCTGACTGCGCTGCGACCAGGTGACGAACTCCTTGTGATCGGGGTTCAGGCCTGGAGGTAGGCAGAAAAGCCACATTTCTCCCAGATTTACGGTCTGTTGTGACAAACCAACAGAATATTTCAGTCCGGCAAGAATTTATTGCATTTTTTTGGGGTTAAAACAATTGGGCACTTTAAATAAATATAGATGCAGGAATAGCAGTGAATGTACGATGGTGATAAGGAGCACATAACTTTTGACGTTTTCTTAGTTACTACTAGGAGACAAAACCCCTAGATCTAGTCATTCGTTAATACACAAAACGACCGTTCCAGCCTTTACATCGGCTTAGCTGAACAGATATAATGATACTATGAATTCAGGTTCCCTATAACCACCCTTAGATTGCCAATAATGTAGAATGAAAAGAACTAAGATCAGAATTTAACTAAACAGACTACACATTGAGGACAGCCAAGGGATACTAAAGTTGCAAGTTATATTGTTTCATTCGCCAAGAAATGCTGTATTTCACCCGAACGAACTTAAAGCTGAGTGACATTTGAGATTGATTTGGATTGTTTCGGTATTAAATGATGTTTTTCTTGGAGCTGTTGAATAATTGAAAGGAATGTTCTGGGTTGGGTTGGACTGTGTTAAAAATTTTTTTTAAATTTAGTATAACCCAACTATCTGATTATGTCAACTGGTATCTGTTTGAATTCCTTGTCAGATGAAATATTTTACTCTTTGATTCCTTTGAGTTCAATTATGAATGTATTGAACTTTGAGTATTCACAAGTTTACTTAGAAGAATAAATATTTATTCAGTCATTTTCCGGGGATTAACCCTATTCGTAAAAATTATCTAAGTTATCAGATTGTATTGAATTCTCTTCCTTTCTATGAACTCAGGGACCAATAAATTTACCCTAGACAATATTATTTCGAGCCCTGTCAAACATTAATTTAGGAGGGATTATAATAGATCTCCAGGCGAGGATACATTCCGCCAATTACGTTTATGACATCTATCATGGAATCAAGGCCGAAGGGTTGCGATATCCACTGTATCGAGCCAAACTCATGGTTTCAGGATACTTTAAAAAAAAATATTTTTAAAGCACATTCATTTTAGATGACAGTGGGTACATAATATTTTGGTGGTTGCCTCTATGAACTTGCATGTCAGCCGCAGGTCCTTCATGGTTCCCCATAGCTTGCTCTGCACACTTTACTCATGAGACCAGGTTAATTTACGAAATTGTATGTAGAGTGGGCAGGTCTGCAGAATGTGCTCAGGTGTATGTGGTCCTGTCTGACATGCACGCTGTACAGTCTTTATATTATGCATGTGGTAGTTGAGCCTGCAGTGTCCTGTTCTGAGACGGAAAACTGTTGTATGTTTCTCTATGAAGAGTCTGCTCATAGGATTTTGAGGATGTTTACTGCTGGTTTGTTCTCTCTGCAATTCCTTGTATTCTCCCATGGTTAGTATTTTGATTTCTGGTAATGACAATGAAGACACAGCATTTAAGAACTATATATTTCTTTGACATAGCAGTTAAGAGCTATAGACTACTTTTGATATATTCTTCCTCCTCTTCTCTTCCTCCAGTGACTTTAGAAAAGTACTGTGGGGTGGGGGTTTGTTAGAATTTCGTGTGCTCTCACTAATGCACTGTATAAGCTGAGGCTGATTTCTTTAATACTGTTCACAATGCCGTCATTCCATGTTTTGCGGGGTCTTCTTCTTGCTCTGTGTGCATAATATTTCTTCAACATAGTCCTCCATGGCAGCGTTATTATGCATTACATTCTGTTAAAAGAAACACCTTTTAAAAGATACGAAACAGACTTCCAAATTATGATAAATGTACCTTTTGAGATATAAGAGTCCGACATTCTGATATAAAATCCCTGGAACATATTTCAAGATGAAATGGCCGACCACAGTTGTCTACACATGCACCTAGCAGCTGTGAATGGTAATACCACATAGCAAGCTATTTATAAACAATATTTACATACAATTGTAAAAAAAAATAGTTTACACAAACAAAAAAAGTAGTATGATAAACAAAATGAAAAATATCTTATGCAATAAACTGCTCTTATTTAATGTGTCAGAAAGAGGGTGCTAAAATGTTACATAGAACCTGTTCTGCTGTATGGCAGCGAATACTGGAATGTCACTGAACAAATTAAGAAGAATTTGGAAGCAAGAGAGATGTGGTTTCTGAGACGAATGTTACGAATACCTTGGACGGCCAGAGTAAGTAACAACAATTGCTTGAAAGAGGCTAATGAAAGTAGATCTCCTTATACAACATTAAGAAAGAGACAAACACTGTTCTTTGGCCACATAATGAGAAGAGAGACATTTGGAGAACATCATGACAACTGGAAAGATCAGTAGAGGCAGACCAAGAGAGATGATGCTGGATGGGCTGAAACCATGGCATGGAGAGCTGTTCCAGGCAACCAGGGATCCTGATCTGTGGGGACCCATGAGCGCCTATGCCAGCTGGCAGGGCACATGATGATGATGATGATAAACAAACTAAATATACTGATTGGCACATATTCATGCTGAGTAACAGAACTGCAGCCTGTGTAAATTATTTCACAAGAGATAACCGACACTCTGCGTTTAATACTGGTGTAGGAACACAGCAGCCATGAGGTGACCCATTTTAAACTGGAACTGTGATTACCCGATATGCAGAGGTAAGAAATATAGATAGGACATGCCAGACAAGATGTTACGTTATCAAAACTGATCCCCACTGGCCACTTCCATGCATGCTAAGTCCTCAAATGTCACAGTTACCCCTAGGAACCTCTACTGCTACTAGACAACACAACCATCAGATCAGGTTCAGGTACTGAAAGTCGGCCAATTAGGGCTGTTTCCTTCAAAGCGCATCTGCCTGAGAGGTGAGGAACTAACAGGCTGCATACAAATAAGCCAGATCTGAAAATGGATGTGTACGAAAAACTCAAGATCTGGAACTAGAATAAGGTCCAGAAGTGGACGAACAACCAGAACTTTCCACCGGAGTTCTCAGCTGGGAAAAGCTAAGAAGAATAGACAGTTTGGAAAATAAAATTATGCAGAAACTGAAGAATCAACACATTACACTAAGAAAGTAAAGTAAAAGGCACAGACAACATTAAATTAGAATATACCGAGTTTCTGGGAGAATTTATGTAAGGTTCATTCAAAGCATCCACAACAGCTAGCATATATCCACTCCTCTACATCAGCTAGCTCCTTCATCTACAAAAGCTGATAAATATCCACTCATCTACAACAGCTGATGAATATCCACTTAATTACAACAGCTAGCATATATCCATTCCTCTACATCAGCTAGCTCCTTCATCTACAAAAGCTGATAAATATCCGCTCATCTACAACAGCTGATGAATATCCACTTAATTACAACAGCTAGCATATATCCATTCCTCTACATCAGCTAGCTCCTTCATCTACAAAAGCTGATAAATATCCACTCATCTACAACAGCTGATGAATATCCACTTAATTACAACAGCTAGCATATATCCATTCCTCTACATCAGCTAGCTCCTTCATCTACAAAAGCTGATAAATATCCGCTCATCTACAACAGCTGATGAATATCCACTTAATTACAACAGCTAGCATATATCCATTCCTCTACATCAGCTAGCTCCTTCATCTACAAAAGCTGATGAATATCCACTCATCTACAACAGCTGATGAATATCCACTTAATTACAACAGCTAGCATATATCCATTCCTCTACATCAGCTAGCTCCTTTATCTACAAAAGCTGATGAATATCCACTCATCTACAACAACTGATGAATATCCACTTAATTACAACAGCTAGCATATATCCATTCCTCTACATCAGCTAGCTCCTTCATCTACAAAAGCTGATGAATATCCACTCATCTACAACAGCTGATGAATATCCACTTAATTACAACAGCTAGCATATATCCATTCCTCTACATCAGCTAGCTCCTTCATCTACAAAAGCTGATGAATATCCACTCATCTACAACAGCTGATGAATATCCACTTAATTACAACAGCTAGCATATATCCATTCCTCTACATCAGCTAGCTCCTTCATCTACAAAAGCTGATAAATATCCACTCATCTACAACAGCTGATGAATATCCACTTAATTACAACAGCTAGCATATATCCATTCCTCTACATCAGCTAGATACTTCATCTACAAGAGCTGATAAATATCCGCTCATCTACAACAGCTGATGAATATCCACTTAATTACAACAGCTAGTTCATTCATCTACATCAGCTGATGCATATCCATTTATCTACAACATCTATATCACTCATCTAGATTAGCTGCTGATGCATATCCATCCATTTACAAGAGCTGATGCATATACATTCATCTACAACAAATGGTATGTATCCATTTATCTACAACATCTAGCACATATTAATTTATCTTCAACAGCTAGCGTATATAAATCTATATCAATATATATATATATTGATATATATATATATATATATATACACACACATAAACCAGCTGGTACATTTTGATTAATCTACAACTGCCAGTAAATATTTATATTTAATCATCTACAACAATTATTTCATACTTTGCAATAGCAGCTGGCACATATGCATTTATCTACACCAAATGAGAAAGATAATTTTTTGTCTACGAGAAACTTATTTTTGAAATGTCCCTTTACATTTATTTTATGTCTGCAAAGTTATCATGCCCAAAAGTCTGGTTTCACTTAAAGCTAACTAGATAGTGAACTGCACTACACAAAAACACTTACTGTCAATGCCTGCATGGACACAAAGGGTACTTTGTGATTCAGTCTTTTCACTATTGACTTCAAACAATCCCTAGCGCTGTTATGAGAAAATACAATTAGTTAATAAATCTCAAAGCAAATATAAGGTGTGATTATTCTTCTAGAAGGGCACAATTTAACATACTGGAACAACCTGACCCATTCATAGAAAATGCAATCAAAGTTAAGAAACAACACCCCAGCACTCGGCACATTCCTATACATGCTTATCCTCATCTTCAGTAACCTGAGAACAGTTCTAATGCTGACGATACTAGCAGCAGTTTGATTATAGAAAAAATGCAATCAAAGACATGTTTGTACACAATGTTTACCTCGCAGCCACGGTAGTAAGGTGTAATAGAGCATATATACTCAGTCTCAAGTTTCCTTTTGTTTTCTGTTTCAGTTAAACAGACAAATGATTCAAAGTGATTAACGTATTATGACTGTGATTGTATTTATGTGATGCTGCTGTTATGCTCCCTCTTGCTTTTTCTTCTACAATAATTGTGTGGTTAGGTTCATGTCCAGGTATGAGTGTTAGTGTATGTTTGGGTGTTGAGGTATTATGTTTTTTTTAATGGGTGACTGGGTATGAATAATTTCTTGTGTATGTAGGGGTGTTTATGTACGTATGGGGTTGTATTTGTATGTGAGAGTGTATGTGGCTATATGGGTGTTTGTGTATGTATGGGTGATGTATTCTTAAACAACCCCTGTGTAGACTATGGGCATGAAGAGCACTTGAGATTAGTTCATAAAATGTCTACATTTCTGCATGAATACTTCTTAGTATCTGAAAACATATACAACACTAAAGATTGTTTACCCATTGGGCTGTCTTGAGACTTTCTCACATATGTCAAGAATAAGACTCCAATCTTCAGTTGTGTTCATTTCATGTGTTGCCTTTTCTGTAAGTAAAAAAGGTATATATATTTATATATCCAACTCTTTGCCTTTTCTGTACGTAAAAGTAAAGGACCCTTTTACAGGCCTTTAGGCATATTGGGTAGTGCTAGACCTATATTTTATAGATCAACCGGCATTCGGTGGGTAACATGGTCAACATCATGCTGGCTGCCTTTACCTCCCAAGAATTTACCTTGTACCCATTTAAGGATGGGTTGACATGGAAGCCCAGGCCCTGGGGGGAAGGGGGTGGGGGGGGGGGGGGGGGGGACTGATTGTTTGGATCTGAAACCTTAAATCTTTAGGCGAGCATCTAGCTAGCCTCTCCCTTTCTGTAAGTAAAACAGGCAAATACATAGCAAACAACCCCTTTTTTATGCTTTCAGGATTACTGCATTTATATATATATATATATATATATATATATATATATATATATATATATATATATATATATATATATATATATATATATATATATATATATATATATATATATATATATATATATATATATAGCTAGCCTCCATATTTATCTAGACACATTGGAACTCAAAAGATTATACTATTAAACTTATTCCTACAGTCTTCCTAGAACACCTCCTGATGCATATTTTTAGACTAGGTCTCCTCGAGTGAATTCTCAGACCCCATTTTGGGGTAAGGGGACAAAAGGCCTATTGATCCTTAACAAACATATTGTATAAATCACCTAATTAGGAATTTGCTAAAACAGGATGCATTCAGCTGTAAGACGCAGATATTGCAGGCTGTTTATTAAAAACATACCACTCTCTGACCTTTTCAGGGCATAGGCACACAAACACACAAAAAACCTAAGTCCACCACGAACACGAGGTAAGTTTTTTTTTTTTAAATCCCTCACCTTGAGACGAGTTAAAACATATCACTGGGCTGATTGACAAGCAAACACAACAAGCCATTATCATCATCAAGTGCCTTGCCGACTGGTGTGGGCGATCATGCCTCTCCATATCTTTGATCTGCAACTGCATGTATCAGTTCGTGCGTTGACACCCTTCCATGTCATGAGAAAAGGCTCCCAAAAATCTTTTAAGATTCTTCCTCTATCTCTTTGTTCATAGATCTTTCCAGTGGTCACAAAATGTTCCAGTTTAATTCTTCTCATAATCATCCCCCCCCCTCCCCCGAAAAAATACAAATGACCACCTCTTTTGTGACAAGTTGTCTTCGAGCCCTCGTCTCTTTCAATACATCTGGGTGGCTGTTTTTGGCTTTTCGGTGAATTCTAAGGATTCTTCGGTAAAACTACATCTCTGAGGTCTCAAGAAAATGTTTGGCCTGTTTATTAATTGCCTATGATTCACAGCCAAACCAATCTGCATGTGGGTTCCCAAGCCCCAATGTGGGGACAACAAGAATAGACCTACCACCTCCCCAGCAAACATGTTGGAAGAGTCTACAAATTGGGGGCCTCCTTCAAAGTCAGAGTGCATGCATCTGCCTGAGAGACAAGGAACCAACAATCTGCATACAAATAAGCAAGATCTGTAAAATGGATGCACAAGCAAAACTCAGTCCCTGGAACAAAGCCAAAGTCCAGAAATGGATGAACAACCTGATATTTCTGCCGGGGTTTACAGCCGGTGAACGCAAACAACAGAAAAACCTTCAATTACATGGATTTAATGCATAAATACAACAGGTAATGCTCACAGTTTGGCTTTAACTCTTTTAGCACTAAGCAACTCCCAATGTGTTCTTAATTATTCCCCACAAAATACACTGATCTTCCTGTTTTCTTTCGTCGATTGAGGCTATGATATTTGTGAGTTTTGGCTGACACATTCAACTTCTGCAGGTGTTAGCTTTCGCAGTTAGGACTGAGGTTTTATCAACTCTCTGTATCTGAGTTTCTTTTGCTCAAATGGGTCTCTATAAACTCCATCAGATCTGAGAATGTACTGGTTGTCTTCTTCTTCTTCTTGTTCACCGGCTGTGAATTCCGGCGGTAAGTCACTGTTGTTCGTCCAAAATGGACTTTTGGCTTTTACCTTGACCTGAGTTTTGCGTGTACATCCGTTTTACTGGCTTATTTGTTTGCAGTACTCGTTCCCCGCCTCTCCGGCAGATGTACTCCGACTTCGGAGGAAGACGTCAAGCCTATTTCTAGGTTGACTGTGGCCATTGTTTTGTGTGGGTCGAGATGTTGCCTCATTTGTGTGGTGTCCTCTTTGACCTTCAACAGGTGTGGCCCCCGTTATATCGTCCTTAAGGCAGCTCTATGTAGAGTTTTCAGCCCTCAGGGGAAGGCAGGGGCAGATCATGGGCATTCCCCGCCATCCAAGGAGGCTTCCATAAATGCAGAGCCGACACATGATGCTCTGGTTCTGGGCTCACCCAAGGAATCGTCACGTCCTGCCCATGACTGCTTAACCTCAAAACTGTGTATTGAGCTTCCCGCGCTACAAGGCTGCGCTCTCCGGAGATCAGCGGGGAGCAGCCCGCAGGTCTAGGACGTTTGTGGCCACACAAATAGGTACATTCTTTTTCATCTTACGTTAGACACCTTTAACGTTGTTTCAGCTGTGCCCTTAGCACGACAGAATGGGGAAGCAAAATGCGTCAGGCGTGGCTTCACCTGTTTGGTCCCAACACTCGGGCGAGTTGAACCAGTGGATACGGACATTCAGACTTTTCCTAATCGGTACGAGTTATGATCGTCGGACTTTGAGCTTGCATGTGTGCCGTGGGGTGTAACTTTGTCGGACATTGTTTTCAAGCCAGCATATGAATAGTTGCTGCCATGGTGTACCTCAGCGCGGTGACGACGACACTGAGGATTGACAGAGGATGTACGTAGGTGGGATCTTGCTGCGAGAAGTCGCCCACAAGAGATGTTACTCGTCTTGGCTGCGGGTAAATCACTCGGTCAGGGTTGAGTCTCAGCAGCACAGTTTTCCATTCGCTCCCGAATTTTAACCAAGAGTTGTCATTTGATGGTACATTTAGCAAGCAGTCCTTGAGTTTTGTTACTTTTCACCCATGCGTTTGGGGGCGGGCTGGTGAGAGCCAGAAAGGACTCTACACCTCTAGGGGCCGCCAGCTCCGAGATCCCCTGCCAACTCTGTTAATGCTCATTTGAGACATTATCCGTGGCGTACGTGGGACGTGCAACAGGAGTCTTGCATGAGGTTCCGTAAAACCAGAACAGTGAAGGACTGGCGCCTGAGTGGGGTACGGAATATCTCCTTATACACATCACATCAGACTTAACTTCCCCTCATGCCTGTGACCGAAATCACTGCGCCACTGTACTGGTTGTAAAGTCAGCTCTTTGGGACAGAAAGAGTTAAAAAATTAAATACTTCTTCTTCGTCTTTGTGTTCACCAGCTGTAAACTCTGGTTGTTCATCCACCTTTAGACGGCAGTCCTGTTCCAGAACCTAAGTGTTACGTGTGCATTCGTTTTACAGATCTGACTCATTTGTATGCAGACTTCTGGTTCCTTGCCTCTCAGGCAGATGCACTCCGACTTCGAAGGAAGCTCCAAATTAGTCAACTCTTACAACATGCTTTGGATGGGCAGTGGGTCTATTCTTTTTCCCCCCAATAACAGGGCCCCAGAACCCACATGGGAAAATTTAATACTGTTACTCTATTAGCAGCATAATTTGCACATAATTATTTTCCAAGAATCCCTGTTTGGCTTCAGGTTCTCGATTGTGAGGGGAAAAAACCCACTGCTCCCAAAATAAGCATGTTGTGAAAGCTGACCAATTAGTGGGGTTTCCTTAGAAATTAAGAGTGCATCTGCCTGAGACACAAGAAACCAGCAGTCTGCATACAAATAAGACAGGTCCGTAAAGCAGATGTGCATGCAAAACTGAAGTTCTGGGACAAGACTTGAGTGGATAAACAACCAGAACTTTCTGCCGAAGTTTAAACCTCGGGAATGTAAAGAAGAAGATTATCCGAGACACACCCAATAGCCCTCCCCACAGAACAGCAGGTTATTTTTTAACCATAGTGTGTCCCAACATAAGTTTCATATGGTTCAATGGAATGTCTGGAATTCACTCCTGTTGGATTTGCATCCAAAATGTGCCAGTCTGAGCCGTCGTGTGTTCATCTTTCAGGCTCCAATTCCAGGGGTGGCGGAATTTTTAATTTAAAAATGTCAGGTTCAGCAGGGTCTAACAGAAGAAGTCAAATGTAGAAATCATCCTATAAATAACGGTCACATGTTATCATACGGCTAGTGTTACGGTTAGGGTTTGGTTTAGGGTTAGGGGTATGGTTTGGGTTAGGGTAGGTTAGGGTTATGGTTTTGTGATTTGTGCCTTCTCCACTCCGTAAGTGCACTGTAGCCAGGGGACTGAACTCCGACTAACCGGCCGTAGTTTAAAGGAGAACCCATATGTATTAGTTTTTATAAATAATGTGTAAAATGTATAGTTGTAAATTGTACATTCATTCAATTTACAACTATACGTTTTACCAATTATTTAGATAATAATCATATGTCAATGTTATAATTTTCGTAAATTATGAGCACAACTGTTACATTATATTCATGTATGTTATATTGCGGAGTGCTGATTGCCTCAGACAGCCCGATCAGTGTCAGATGTATGTGAATCACCTGTGGACCAACAGTCAACAGAACGGTGAACTGGAACCAGAAAAATCTAAGTCAGTCACAAGTGTCGTTTCATCGTTTCCTGTGTCACAAAATATCTGACAAATACTGTTAAGACCCTATTCTGTATTTAAAAAAAAGATATGACACAGAATGTAGTACAAATTCAACATACCGACATCGGCGTCGAAGGGCGTAGCGTTGGCAAACAAAGGCATTTTTCTCTGAGATTGTTATTTGGATGAAGATGGTGTTGTCTACTGACGGTCATTACATTACAGATACTGGTTGGTGATTGGCGCATGCGCACTCGTGACGTCATGATCATGTTTACTTCCGGGGGCTCACAATAATAAGCAAGCTAAGCTCTATTGCGTGACACAGATGAGAGAGAGAGAGAGAGAGAGAGAGAGAGAGAGAGAGAGAGAGAGAGAGAGAGAGAGAAACTTATCTCCAATGGGCTACAAAATGGGCACGTAGGCCCGTCTTATATTGAGAGAGAGAGAGAGGGGCAGGGGGGGGGGGCACTTTATTTTTTTAGTCATCCCAAACAGGGGAAATCCACAGCTGACGGGACACTAGACTGTTTCGGGGTGGGGGGGGGGGGGGGGCAAGGCCGAACAGGTCATCAGAGAACAACAAATGAAATGGTTTGGACACCTAACCAGAATGCCCTGGTACTATCCGCTACAGCGAGCCACACTAAAGCGTTACAACGGGTATCGAGCGAGTGGAAGACCTAGGAAAACATGGAGTGATTGCATTAAGAACAACCTTACAGAAATGATCAGTCTTAATAATAGTGTTTTTGACAGAATTTATCAATGTGTCAAAATACTTAAATTTTTTAACATATTCTAAACTAACGCATTTGACTCTTATTATACATTTAGCCAACATTATTTCTGGGGGAAAAGGGGGGGGGGACGAGTAGGAAATAAAAAAGACAAGTGAAATTTCTAGACTACATTAAAAGACATTTAAATCAACTACCTATTGCTGAAATTCTCGGGGGGGGGGGGGTTGAGGGGCGGGGGAAGACAAGTGAAATATCAAGGTTACATTCGTCTTCCTTTCTTGCCTTGTTCTGCATTTTAGCGTCAGGTTTTAATCTTTGAAAAGGCTTTGGGTAATAGCCTAGAATTGCAAAGATGTGGGTATTTGCGGACTCATATATTCCATTCATCGACCTCTGGCTCTCCTTCGGTGATGTCTGAGCGACAGAGCTCTCTGTGGTGTACTGCTTAGTGGTAGTTTCACACATGTCCAAACCATTTGATCTTTTTTCTCTCGATGCGCTCCTTTCGTCTCAGCTTCTTTTCTGATGTCGTCCTTCCTGATCCTGCCTCCTGTATTTACATTTAGAATTGGCCTTAGACATTACACACACACACACACACACACACACACACACACACACACACACACACACACATATATATATATATATATATAGAGAGAGAGAGAGCCGACCGTTTAGTGGGCAATAGAAATTAATAAATTTGCTAAGAAAAACCGTAACAGAAAAAAAAAGACTGATGTTCAGGACCGTGCGACGAGCGATAAACACACTGTGACACAAAGTGTCACGATTTGTAAGAGAATCGCCAGGCGCAATACCTAGAAATCACATTCACTTCAACCCAACCAGGACATACAACAAGCGATAAACACCAGGCGACACAAAGTGCTACCGTGCAAATGAGGATCGCCCGGGGAGACGTCCCAGAAACCCCGATCAACCCATAAGTTCGGTTATATTAGGATCCCATGCAACAGCCAATGTGAAGATTTAAAAGTAAAAAAAATTGCATCTGACACTGGGACGATGATATTATTACCAGCCACAAAACGTGCTTGCTTGTCGTACCCCACCAGGACATCACACAAGCGATAAACACCCGGTGACACAAAGTGCCACCATGCAGATGAAGATCACCCGTGGAGAGGTCCAAGAAACCCCGTTCAGCCGTTAGGCCATGTCTATGGCTAGGCCATATTTATGGCTAGGCTATATTCAAGGCCCCCTATCAAAAGCCAGGGCGGGGCTTCAAAATAAAAAAAAAATTGCTCCACAGGAGTGGACGACTGCTTACAACAACATAAAACCGCCACAAAATATGGAACGCTTCACGAATTTGCGTGTCATCCTTGCGCAGGGGCCATGCTAATCTTCTCTGTATCGTTCCAATTTTAGTATATGTACTGCGTGAACAGTACTGCTTACTATCTATCTATCTATCTATCTATCTATCTATCTATCTATCTATCTATCTATCTATCTATCTATCTATCTATCTATCTATCTATCTATCTATCTATCTATCTATCTATCTATCTATCTATCTATCTATCTATCTATCTATCTATCTATCTATCTATCTATCTATCTATCTATCTATCTATCTATCTATCTATCTATCTATCTATCTATCTATCTATCTATCTATCTATCTATCTATCTATCTATCTATCTATCTATCTATCTATCTATCTATCTATCTATCTATCTATCTATCTATCTATCTATCTATCTATCTATCTATCTATCTATCTATCTATCTATCTATCTATCTATCTATCTATCTATCTATCTATCTATCTATCTATCTATCTATCTATCTATCTATCTATCTATCTATCTATCTATCTATCTATCTATCTATCTATCTATCTATCTATCTATCTATCTATCTATCTATCTATCTATCTATCTATCTATCTATCTATCTATCTATCTATCTATCTATCTATCTATCTATCTATCTATCTATCTATCTATCTATCTATCTATCTATCTATCTATCTATCTATCTATCTATCTATCTATCTATCTATCTATCTATCTATCTATCTATCTATCTATCTATCTATCTATCTATCTATCTATCTATCTATCTATCTATCTATCTATCTATCTATCTATCTATCTATCTATCTATCTATCTATCTATCTATCTATCTATCTATCTATCTATCTATCTATCTATCTATCTATCTATCTATCTATCTATCTATCTATCTATCTATCTATCTATCTATCTATCTATCTATCTATCTATCTATCTATCTATCTATCTATCTATCTATCTATCTATCTATCTATCTATCTATCTATCTATCTATCTATCTATCTATCTATCTATCTATCTATCTATCTATCTATCTATCTATCTATCTATCTATCTATCTATCTATCTATCTATTTATCTATCTATCTATCTATCTATCTATCTATCTATCTATCTATCTATTGTCTTCTTCACTTTTACCGGGTTGCAGCCCGACTGCTTACAACAACATAAAACCGCTACTTGACTTGACTTTCTACCCCACTAGGACATCACACAAGCGATAAACACCCGATGACACAAAGTGCCACCATGTGGATGAGGATCACCGCGGAGAGGTCCCAGAAACCGCGTTCAGACAATTGGCCATATTTATGGCCTGTCTATATTGCGGCCTCTGGCAAAAGCCAGGGTGGGGCTTCAAATAACAAAAAATTACGTCCTTAAAAGGACGTAAGGAATATATTTATATGAAAACCGCTACAAAATGCTGGTGTTGTTCTGCAACGTCATGTAAAGGACACGCAACTGACTTAAAAAAAAATATATATAAACTATTGTAGTACATATAAATATAGGCCTAGATATAAACGGGTGCGCGCGCGTGTGTGTGTGGGTGTGTGTGTGTGTGTGGGTGTGTGTGTGTGTGTGAGTGTGTGTGTTTGTGCATATATATATATATATATATATATATATATATATATATATATATATATATATATATATTATGGGAGCTCATTCATGTCTAAGAATGTCAGTTTTTGATTGTGGGCCTTGTGTCAAATGTCAGTCTAACAAAACAGCTGTGGGCTGTGCAATGGCCGACGCTGATACTTTACGTCGGCTGTGGAAATTTAAATCAGATCTGGAGCAAGATCCAGATGAAGAAAGGGTAATTATATTAAATTATGATCTATAGTGAGTGTGTCTTAAAAATACTGTAGAGTTTCCTTTGTACCTCACTGCTGTAACTAATTTTGAATTACCACTGCTTTGGCCCGGTAATTGCAATTTTATTGATGTAGTTTAATGTTGATTTTTCTGCACAGCAGATATCAGAGAACTATGACGGCTCACTCTGCCTGCAGCGTACGACGATGTCTCATTTCATATTGGGAGCAGAGGGCTGGATCTTTCACAAACCGAAAAAAAAACCCATTAACAAATCCGCAAAACCAAATAAGCTATTCTTTATACTTCATCAACTACAGTATTATTAATATTATTATTTACAATTTTTTTTTTTAAGGACAGTGTGTTGGTGCTTAGACACTTGGTATCTGAGCGAAGTATTAATTAAGGCTGCAAAGCAAGTGTCGTTACCACAAATTATGCAGGTTGGGGTACTTTCATTTTAATTCACCCCAAACAATGTAAATCCAGAAAAATACAATATTTGGTTCTCCTTAAAACTACGGCCACTTATTATGGAGTACGCCGGAGTTCAGTCCCCTGGCCGCATTGCAATTACGGAGTGGACAAGAGAGAACGACACAATTGATGCAATTACTGTGTTTGCGATAGATGCACTGCTGTCATAATAGGGTTAGGGTTAGGGGTAGGGGTAGGGTTAGGAGTGGCCGTAGTTTTAAGGAGTACCAATACCCTAACCCTAACCCTATTATGACAGCAGTGCATCTATCGCCAACACACAGTAATTACCTCCTCAGTTCCCGCTGTCTATCACCAACACACAGTAAGTACGTCATTTGTGTCGTTAACTTTTGTCCTCTCCGTAATTGCAATGCGGCCAGGGGACTGAACTTCGACGTACTCCATAATAAGTGGCCGTAATTTTAAGGAGACCCAATATTTAAATGGTGTAATTGGTTAGGGTTAGTCAGTGTCTCTGAGATGGTCGGCACTAACAAACGAGTTTTATTTTCATGCCAGGGCGTGCAAATGTTCTTTTCATAATATTCACCAGATTCATTTGAAACCATCACACTCTAGCATACTGGAGTTTCCCAGCCCCCCGGGTTTTCCTTTGTTTGAGGTGAATTAAAATTAAAGTACCCAAGTTAGATGTTTAGTTTTGCTTTCAAAAGGGAAAACAAAAATCTTCATCTGTTAACTAAGTATTGACCAGGGTCTCCCATTTGAGAGCTCAGCTTTTTAATCACTCGGCTAGCCATGAAAAGCTAGGT